ATCATTTCCTTTATAGCCTGAAATACAGCTTGATAACCACAACCAATATCTTTTTTGATCGTTACGTAGCATGGTGGCTGAAATGCAGGGTCAAACTTATTAATCATACGTAAAAATCCTTTTCCGTTTACTGAATTAAAAGGTTGAGAATCTGTTACTAGCCAGTCAGCTACAGCATTTCTCAATTCTTGTTGTTTAGATTTATTATGTGGAATAATTTTTTTTAATTTTGGATCATTAATCTTTAATTGCTGCTATAGAATAAAAAGCAATATATTGTTTAATTTGTAAAAATATTAATTTAGCATATAACAAAATAACATTTACTATAATGCTTGTCTTACATTTTTTTCCTTTTCAAACTCTTTATGAACAGAATTTAAATGTTGTTGTTGAGTGCTAGTTTGGGTATTATACATACAGCTATAGTTACATTCTTCCTCTATACCACCTCTTAATACCTTATATCGGCAATAAGCGCGTCCATCAGTTTTAATACCAAAATGCTTCCATACCCAACTTTTTTTATTAGGCCCAAGGTCAACCCACTGTGGTTCTTGTGGTTCTTCTTGATTGTTATTTGAGCCTGCTGAGCCATTATTAATTTTTTTAGATTGTTGAGTTAATGAGATATTATTTGAATATTTACGTTTTTTATTCTTGTCTGACATTTTTTTTAAAACAAATACGTGTTTTTTCGCGTCAAATACTTTTCGCGTCAAATACAATGGGAAAATAAATTTGCGCGATTATACCGATCATCTGATCTTCAAATTTAAACGATAATTAAATACTATTTATAAATAAAATTGTTGTGAAACGTTATAAAATAAAAGAAACTAAAAAGGTATCTTTTACGCATTTTACCATAATTATTTAATTTAGAAAAAGTAATTTTTTTTCGCATAAAAAAATTTTTATTTATATTTATTTGTTATATTACATAATATTACAGCCCATATTATGCCCCCAGTTGATAATTTTGTTATCCTATTATTTTTTTATGATTCGTTTTATATGAAAAAGTTCTAATGCTATTTTTGGATAATTTCCTGTTATTTTCATATTGATTTCTCCATTAGACCTTTTTCATCTCCTATAAAAAACGAAATGGGTTAAATTTGTTTTATATTTGTACTCATGTGTAATAGATGCCTAAAAAAGAGCACCATTTTGTTTAAATTTTTTTTTTTATAATAAGACATAAATCGGACTAAAATGGTGCTTTGTCAGACGTTTTTTACACATAAACACAAATATAAACCGAATTTAACACATTACATTTTTATAAGGAAGTAAGTTTAATGTTAAATACGACCTTGTATCTTCTAAAAATTTATTATAAAAGTCGTTTTTATTAATTTCCATTTTTTTCGTTGTTAAAATATTTTTCCTTCCCAAAAATTTTAGCCGAGGGATTGACGATCGAGAGTTTTTTTTTTCATAAATACTGTACTTCTATAGAATTAAAGCTACTGTAAATTTAGCTAAGTTTTTTGTATTAACTTAATCAAAATTTCATATCTTTAAACTTTTAAAATGTACAGTTTAATGTTTTGAGTGACATAAATATAGGTGCCGTCGGAATTCCCTAATTACAGCATTACGGAATTACGGCATATGTCGTAAATAATGCCGTAACCGTAATAAAATGCCGTAATTAATAGTGATCACGTGACTCGAATAATACCAAATGATCGGCAAAAATATCTCCTTTTTAGAATCCTGTGTAACCATGTGTAACCCATTTCTTTGACAAAATTTCATTTTTTGGAAATTTGTGTAATCACGTGATATAACGCGAAAAAAAGTTTTACGAACGGCTGAAATTAAGTTTAGTTTCCCTACCTGCTTCACATAAAATAAATAAATGAAATTAAGTTTAGTCTTATTTATTTACGGCATATCTGATATTACACTACGGCATTACGGCATTACAGCAATTACGGTTTACGGTTTTTAATTACGGTGATTACGGCACGTGCCTTAACCGTAATAATAATTTCGGCGGCAACTATAGACATAAACCCTTTCACACTTGCCGAATTTCGCTAATACTGTAATAAGTAATAAGCTAATCATCGCTGTCACGCTGTGTAATGGTGTAATACAGATCCCCATTACGCCAGAGGTAACATACGGCCTTACACAAGGTCAGCAGGTGATGTTTATATAAACAAGGATCAACAAAATATTCATTTGGGTTCTTTCTATATTGAACTCTCTCTCCTGAAATTTATTAAATTATTCACGATGGATTATCCTAATAAAATTATTTATTTTAATAAACATTGTGAAAATTGTGATAAAATAAGTACAAATAACCAAGATAATAATAAACAACATAAATGGTGTAAATCATGTCAAATAAATTATTTAAGGGAAAATTTTATAAACTGGACAAGTGGGAATAAAAAGATTGATAATTTCATTCAAGATATTCAATTAAAGATTAATCATTCATGGGATACAGTGTTTGAATGGATACCATACAGTCAGTTTAATGAAATAAACCAACATGATATTTCTGGTACGAAATATTCAATAATATGGAAGGATGGACCATTATATTATAATTGGAATGAAAAGAGATATATAAGAGATTCAAATAAAAGAGTTGCTTTTAAGTATTTAATTAGTAACTCACAAGATGAGATTAAAATTAATGAATGTATATATAAGGTATGAAATTTTCTATATATAAATTGAATATTTTTTTTTATTAGTATTAATAATACTAACGTTTCTTGATTTAATAGCTTAAGGAATATATAATTAATAAATTTTTTAAAATTTATGGAATATCTCAAAATCCAGATACAAAAGATTATATTATGGTTCTTCAAATTGAATGCCGTGAAAAAGTATGTATAAAATGTGGTAAATTTTATATAAAGAAGTGGTGTAAATCATGTCAAATAAATTATTTAAAAGAAAATTTTGTAAATTGGACCAGCGAAAATGAAAAGATTGATAATTTCATTCAAGAGATGCAATTAAAAATTGAGAACTATAATGATATAGTATTTGAATGGATACCATACATTCAATTCAGTAATGTTGAAAGAATAGGAGTAAATGATTCTGCTGCATCATATTCAGCAACATGGAAAGATGGTCCATTAAATTATATAAGTACGAATAAATACGAAAGAGATTTAAATAAAGAAATTATATTAAAGTGCTACTACAACACGCAAGATATAGATAAATTTCTAAATGAGGTATATAGTAATTATGATCTTAAAATATATGGAATATCCAAAAGTATGGATACAAAAAACTACATTTTGGTTGTTAAAGGTGATAGAAGTATATGTGTAAATTGTGTAAGATCTGTTTTATCTGGTTGGTGTAAAATATGTAGTTTAAATAATTTAAATAATTCAAAATGGACTAGTGGAAATAATGAAATTGATCGTTATATTCAAGAAATGCAATCGAAAATTGATAGTGTGTCTGATATAATATTTGAATGGATACCATACAATCAGTTTATTGATGTTAAAGAATTAGGAAAACAGGATTTTTCTACAGTATATTTAGCAAAATGGAAAGATGGCCCATTAAAATATAATAGATATACAGCAAGATATGAGCGAAATTTAAATGAAGTATTTACTCTAAAATGCTTCTACAACTCACAAAATATGATTGATGAATTTCTATATAAAGTATGGAATTTTCTTAAATCTAATATTATTAATACATTATATATACTAATAATTTATTAAATTATATTTAATAGGCCGAACTATATTCGATAAAGGTTAATTGCGGCCTTAAAATACTTAAAATATATGGGATATCCCAAAATCCGGATACAGATGACTATATTATAGTTCAAAATAAAAGCTATGAATGCTGTGAAATATGTGATAATATACTTACAGATATACAGTCTAAATGGTGTAAAGCATGTCAAATTAATAATTTAAGGGAAAACTTTACAAACCAGATTAGTGGAAATGAAGAAGTTGATAATTTCATTCAAGAAATGCAATTAAAGGTCAATAATTATGATGATATAGTAGTTGAATTGATATCATATAATCAGTTTGAAGGGATCGAAGAAGTCAGAAGAGATGATTTTTCTACAATATGTTTAGCAAAGTGGAAGGATGGACCATTGTATTATGATGTTGATAAAAAGGAATATAAAAGAATTTCAAATGAAACGGTTATTTTAAAATTTTTAGACAATTCACAATATGAGTTTCTCAATAAGGTATGAAATTTCTCTATAATAAATATATATTATACAATAATAACATTTTGTTTGCTTTAATAGATTCTAAAAACAATAAATAAATTTGATAAATATAAAATTAATGTTCTTCAAATATATGGCATATCACAAAATCCAGATACGAAGGACTATATTGTGGTTTTTCAAAATGAACGTTGTACAATATGTGGTAAAAAATACCGTATTACATACAAATGGTGCAAATTTTGTCATATAGAAAAATTTATTACCTTAAGTGGAAATAAAAAAATTGATGATTTAATTCAAGAAATGCAAATAAAAACTCACAATCCGGGAACTATGGTATTTGAGTGGATACCATACAGTGAATTTGATAGTATTAAAAAAATAGACAAGGGTGGTTTTTCTGTAATATATTCAGCAATATGGAAAATTGGTCCATTATCTTATGATTTTGATGGAATGAAGTATATAAGAGAACCATGCATAAAAGTCGCTTTAAAATATTTGAATAATTCACAAAATCTAACTAATGAATTTCTTAATGAGGCATGCTAATTTCATATTATTGAATTTGTTTTAAATTCTTTATTTAATAGACTAATTTTTTTTTCATGCTTAATAGATCAAAAAATATTCAACAGATACTTATAGTCGTTATATACTTCGAACATATGGAATATCTCAAGATCCTAATACAAAAGATTATATTATGGTTCTTGAATATGCAGAAGGTGGAAACTTTTATAATTGGGTAAATAAAAATTATGGAAATTTCCATTGGTTTCGTAAACTTAATATACTACAAAATATTATTAATGGTCTTAAAGAAATTCATCAAAAAGGATTGGTACATCGTGATTTTCATACAGGAAATATATTATTAATGACCAGTAATTTTAGTAATTATGACATAACATCTATTTCAGATATGGGATTATGCGGAGAAGTTAATAACATGGATGAAACAAAAATTTATGGAGTTATGCCTTATGTAGCTCCTGAAGTATTAAGAGGAAAGTCTTATACTCAAGCAGCAGATATATATAGCTTTGGTATGATTATGTATTTTGTAGCAACAGGGAAACAACCTTTTGCCAATCGTTCTCATGATAAACTTTTAGCATTTGATATAGTACATAAGGAAATTAGACCTGAAATCAATGAGTCAGAAGTACCAAAATGTTATATTGATCTAATGAAAAAATGTTGGGATTCAAATCCAATGAATAGACCAAGTGCTACTGAAATAGACGAATTAATCTCATCATTTCGTAATAATTTTATTGCAGGAAAGGGTGAACAATTTAAGGAATTAGAAATATCTATTGAAAATAATCAATCAACCACTCATTCACAGGCTATTTATACATCTCGATTACTTAATTCTTTTACTGAATGTCTAGATTGCGCAATCATTGATTTAATCAAAGTTAGAATAAATAAATGAATTTAGTTGAAATAGTTACCAATTTTATTAATATTATTAGTTGAAAGGGGAAGAATATTTAACGACTATTAATCTTATATCTATTTATTTATATCTATATCGTATAATTAAAAAAATTAAATATCTAGAATATATTATTAAAATATAAATATATTTAGACTTTGTTCAACACTGGTTAATTTGATTGTTCATTTAATATGATGAATATTAAAGAACTGTTGGTTAATATGGCCTTATAGAGTAATATATGTAATGTTTTTTTTTACATAAATAAAATCAGTTTGTAATTGAACAATGTTAAACTATTTACAAAATTATTCAGTTTCCAGTAACCTAAAAATTTATTTATGCTTCGTGAATGATGTATGTATGGTAAAATACTTTTTAAATGACAGACTGGTTAAGCTCGACTTTGAGCTTAATATAATTAATTCATTGAAAGGCCGCTTAAACAACTGGATAAGGACTCCTGCTGAAACCGCTTAAATGATATTATTACTATGCTTAAATTAATTATGTTATTAGTTGTGAAGAAAATTGACTTCGAAGTAGATTTTTTTACTCAATATGCAGTTAACGTATCAGTTTATGTAATTTATTTGATAATAACAAATTTTAATAATTGTATATTATGCTTTAACCGTTATATATTTTTGATTTAAAACAGAGAAAAAAACGAACAAATTATGTTGTGGTTGAAAAGTTTATATCACTAGGGTTCACACTATTTAGATCTTTTTCAATAACTTCAGTTTTTAATTAATTTGATTTAAATAATTTTTATCAAATAAATTTAACATGCTTTGTTGAATTATTTTTAACAACAATAGGTGGCTATATAGTATTTTTATTTGTTTTAAAAAATGAATAATATTTGTTGAAAATTATAAAAAATCATATATTGCAGTAATCATCATATATTTAAACGAAAATAAAAAAATTGTAGAAATTATAAACATGAAAACATTTTTCATTCCGCAAGTTTTAATTATAGTTCATCGGTTTTTTGTTATAACTATACTTACATAGAGAATAAGAAAAATATTAATCTAATATATCCGATTCTTTAAAATTGACGTTTGATCCATGCGTTTTTCCAGGACCAGGTGGTATAAAGTAACAATACTTTTATGCAGAGCTGAATTCAGCGTGAAATATTTTCTTTAATTTTTCAGCTCAAAAACATCGCTGTAGTTGCTTGCTAATAAATGTGAAAAAAAACTAAGCGTTGAGCCTCCGAATAAATTTATATTAATCCTACTTTACAGTATTTCAAATAACGATACATTTTAGATTTTTTGTGATCCATGGGTCAATTGCAAAGGTTCTGGAATCTGGCGTGGCGTCAAATAAAAGTAAAAAATTATGTGATAAAATATTATGTATTGAAATATATTGGTGTTGAATGGGTTCACATAAAAGCGTTATTTAAAGAACGAAAATCGGGTATATATCAAATTACTAATGGTTGACATAAATTTGCACCGAAATCATATATACTACAAATATAAAAAAAAATGTTCCTGATTAAAAATTAAAAAATCTGAAACCATATACTAAGAATAAAATTAAAAAAGATATTAAAGCATTAGATAAAATTAAGAAAAATCATGATATAATCTGAATAAAATAGTAAATTAGACAAATTTTTTAAATTTATACTGTTAACAACCATTTATTTTTATAATATTTATTAAAAAAAAATAACTGTAAAATTTAACAAAAAATTTTCCAATAAATATTCCA